CGAATTACATATTACTGCTCAATTGGTTCATTTCCGTCATTTCGTGTTTTTTTGTTTGTTCGTTTGTTTGTTTGTTTTGTCTTTTTTTAACTTTGTACGTATAGAATATATGCAGGTGTTAGAACAAAAGGATATAGCATCCCCAACAAGGTCCAACCCCTTTACTCAACCCCATAAACCTAAAAACAAAACATAATTATATATGATTAGATAAAAGCATCTTAACAAGAACATGCGTTTCTCATATTCACTCTTCTGCATTTTGGACAAATAATCTTGTATGAGCGAATATTGTCGCCACCAAAACATAATGCAGACGCCAGAAGAAAATTTAAACCTTCCGCAAGTAGTCACCAGACCCCTCTTTCTTTCGCTCTGCGCTACCATCCTGTTCCGTTTTCTACCCGAACGCCCGCAGCACAAGTGAAAGCTTCGTTAAGGTTGGTTTTTATTGACAATGTATTCAGAATCAAAGTCGGAATCGTATATAATCAGTAGCGCAGATCGATACAATTCGGTGAAAATCAAACAGAATCGGCTTTGCGGCTTTAATTTCTACTCAATATCGATCTCAAATGTGGAAACTAGATTGCATTGGGAGGGGCTACAAACCTGCATAACGATTGGTTGGCAAAATTCATGTTCTAACCGAATCATATGCGTCGCAGTCCGAAGGGTGTTCGGAATATGGAATCGTTATGATTCTTCCAACTCCAATTTCGTCAATTTTCGTTCTGCAGCCGGGGCTCCTACAACCGTCACTATGGAAAACCGACCTGTGAAGACCCAAGACTTTTAGAGGGTCTTGAAAATGAAAAAGGGGATTACGAAGCGGAGAGCGATTTTCGAAAAAAATAGAAAAGAGAGAGTTAAGATGCGACTGGATGGGCCATTGGGTACAAAAACAAGATTTTTTTTTAGGTTGGCGGTTTACAAAGAAATCACCGAAGCCGGGATAATTTTTCGCCAGTTCCTAATGACTTGCGTGACAGGTTACGATGGGAAAGTGGAATTACTCGTGAAAGTATAAAGCCGATAAAGTCGAATGATAACAGTTTTTTTAAATTAAAAAAAAAAAAAAAATCTCCCAATACTGCAATACTCGAATAATGAGTTAAATTCAATGTCATGCCGAATCCACTACAGTAACTCTGTATGTCACGTTTAGAGCAAATGACATGGAAATAACAATTAAGAATTTATTAACATTACATTGGGTAATTGTCAATTACAGCCTGTTTCTGAAACAATCTGAAATTGGAGAAGACTTGGAAGAAATGGTGGAGGACTTGGAGGACAATTGTTACATGTAAAACTGTTCAAAATACTAAGAACCATTGGGCACCCAGCAATAATTTTTCTTAGAGTACAGCCTTGGATCAAATTTATAAATTTCTAAGTTTGGCATCAATTAAGGAAGTTTCAGATTCAAATGTGTTCAGTAATTTTTTTAATTGGATAATGTACTGATCAGTTTGAAGCCCCCACGCCCCGTGCAACCCATGCAACCCACCAGCATTTGACTGTTATCTATGCTCTGGGGGTGGGGAATTTTGAACCTTGCCTGGCTGGGGTGGGGAATTTGAACCCTGCCTGGCTGGGGTAGGGCATTTGAATCCTGCCTGGCTGGGGTGGGGCATTTGAACTGGCGGTGTCAAGTCTTTCAAATGGAATACAAGTGTTTTATCTTTTAATATGGAGGTAAAGGTAAACAGTTCACTTTTGATAGCAAATAAGTCAGAAGAAAGTGTTTACAGCCACTAGGTGTTAAAGCTTAGTTAATGTGAAGAAAGTCATGGCTGCTAATTTTGCCGTTAACGAAAAAACAGAAAAACCATCTTCCAAAGTTCAAATGCCCAGGGGGAGAAATTGAAGCTTCAAATTGATCATGCATAATTTCAAAGAGAAACAAAGTTTCATGACAGTTTTTGGCATGGATTTCTGTTGTTAATGCATTTAATTGTGAGTATCAATAGCTGTGGGAAAGAGTATGTGAAACCTAATCTAACTGTACAAAGACGGGAACCCTGTATAAAATGTACATGCATGGGAACCCTGTACATAAAATAAGGAGGGAACCCAATGATCAAACAAAACATAAAACCATGTGATAGACTAACTTACTAAGGGAGGGAAGGGGGTTTGCAATGCCCCTTGTTTCTGCCATTAACTGAAACTTGGATAAGCTTCAGCAATATGTGCTTTGTGGATTATCTGCTCACTTTACCCTTAGAGATGAAAGTCACAATGTTGACCTACAAGCCAAGTTGTCCACATTGAGTAATTCTTGCAGGTGCCAGTAGCATGACACCCAGCAGGTACTAACCGGTACTAACAAGTACTAGAGTTGTAATTTTTCCTGGATGGGATCCTGGGCCATCACAGAAAATTTTCCAATAACCATCCATACCCATGGGTGGGAAAAGCATTTTGTATCTCAGTTAAAAAAACTCGATTACTTGGCGACATGTTGAGTGCAGACCTTTCAAATCTGACGCTCAGTTCCTGACTGTTACAATGAAAAAAATGACGAGTCTACAATTTGTAAGGTTGTTGCAAGGCCCCGCCTGAGAAAGAGGTGATTGCTAGCTAGATTTTGGCCAGTGATTAGCGATGAAGAGGAAGACAGTGTTAAAGTGATGCACACACATTCATTTGATATTGAAACATATCTTCTTGATGAAAGGGTTTAAATAAACTCCTAACTATCTTGAGTATTGGTGCAACTTTGGCAAGAAAAGGAATTAAAGTAAAATCTTGTTTTGAGCATCTGTAATGTTCTCTTTCCCTTTCCTGTCGTCATCTTATAAACCTGAGGCTTCATAACCTCATTGTCAAGTGGTTGCAAAAGATTTGGGCGGACATTTTGATTACAGAGGCTCAGTTCTAATCTAAACAAACAGACTATTTGCTTGGCAACAACCTTGAATTCGCTGGGAAGCATATTGCATCATGAGATACGAGTACATTAGTGTTGGACCATAATCTAGCTATGGACAGTGTACACATATGTTTGTCTAAAATATAGGACTCACAGCAAGGATAAATTGAATCAGTTTGAAAAAACAAAAACAAAAAAAAATCAACAGTCACCTGTAGAAGTCAGACCTTGAACCTTTATGAGTGAAATCAAGACCAGAATATTACACCTTACAATTATTCGAGTGCAAAACATCAACTACTCAGATCTAACAAAACTACAAAGCATTCGTCACCAGATTAATAATATCAAAGCAACAAGTTACTTAGTGACTGATTGCACAAGAAATAAAATGGGATCTTGTAGATCCTATAAGTTTATGAAAATTGAAATTTTGCATACATGTTGTACATATGCAATTCAAGCTTGATGCTGTTTAATATACAGTTCACTGATCCTCATGCAAAAAGAATCCAAAATCCTAGGAGCTGAAGTGATTATGTCATTTTCACAGGATGAAACCATTTGACTAATTAAGACAGTTTATAATTTGTAGTGAAACAGAATGTTCTCAAATCTCTGTCATGACAGACTGCATGAGTTACAAATTTTATTCTCACAGAGCTTACTAACTAGTGTAACATTTCAGAAATTTATGCAAACTGTTGTGTAATACCTTGCATGTGATGTTTAGGATAATCTGCATATCTATAGACACAGTGACTTGACTAACAGTATGCTCTAGAATCTTTTATCAGTTATTAAATATTTCCTCACCAGAAATGTTTCAAATGAAAAACAACATGTTCTAAATCTTTAAGATATGCATTTAGTGATCGTTTCTCGTTGGAATACTCTGAGTATAGGCGGGATGAAATAAAACACACAAACAGGTATCTTGACACTTTTATAATAACAAACAATTACACGGCTGTTAGGTTATGCTAATTTGCTTGCTTTTGGTTGTAATTGTTCAAAACATCCCAAAAAAAGAAAAAAACCATCAGAGCTGAGTTGTTTAACGTTAACATATTCTCTAATAAATTATTTTCCACACTTCCATCACAAAATAAGTTACCTTACATTCCCACAGAAAAACAATGCTGTTCTTCCATTATCAAAGGAAGATTGCTAAGGGAATACTATCAGTTCAAACATACAATTCTTGAAAATTACCCACAGTAAAGGATGCAACAATTGTTGGTCGACTCTTAAATACATGCGCCAAACAAACTGAACACAAAGAACTTACCATGATTAGTCAAGAACAAAGAACAGGATTGCAGCAAAAGAACAAGGCTTATGTCAGAGAATGTCACCTCTTCCCCTCAAGTGCAAGTGAAATGTTTTCCTGAATCAATTTTACAAAGGCAACGTTGAAACTCCTTCTGAGCAGAATTTTTCCACACCGAGAAATACACACTCCACCGGCTGCCTGCTCAAAAATTCTCCCAGCAGCTTAGTGGCCCTTTATGATGAAATATCTCTGATGGAAAAGTGAATTTAAAGCAGTAAAAACATTCTGCTGTTTAGCAACATTCTGCATATCAATTCATGTGGTGAGTTACAGCTGCATTTATGTGCACATAGTTTACAAATTTTGTTTATATTAACATATCTTTCGGCTTGCTTGATTGGCTGTGCTGCTATCAGAGTCACTTCTGCTCAGCAAGTCCTAATTTACAGTCATGCTACTCTCAACTCATAACTTCAGAGGCAGTAACACTCAACCATATCACCTAGAAAAGAACACTTTCACAAAAGAGGAAAATCATGAAAGCAAGAGCGAAACAAAGGAAAGCTTCAATTATCTAATGTGAGGTTTAAACAGCCAAGAGCCACCAGAAAAAGTGTTATTAAAAATTCATGCTGATAAGCATGTCTTGCTTTCAAGTAGCAGTTAAGAAGGAATGCCATCCCGATGTGACCACCCATGACAGCAGAACTCAGCTTTAATTTTTCAAATAGAGGCTAATAACTAAAAAGGTTTAAAACGGTGTACAGATATGCACTTGTGATAGTAACACTAACATGACATTATACTGGTATTAGAGAACTAATTATGCAGGAATTGGATATTTAAATGGCCACCTGCTATGCAACACACATCAAACATTCATGGAAACATTAACTGAGTTTTCTTTTTTCTCCAGTATGTGGACTACACATTCTATTCTCACTCAAACACACAAACACAGACAGAGAGCCACAGAGCACAAAAGCAAAATTCACTATTTTTTTTCTGACAAAAAACACACCCTTGCAATGACCCTGCACATCAGGAATTAAAACAGCTTCATAACTATTACCATTTAAACTTAGAATGACTTAAATTTATCATGTTGTCACAAGGAAAACTCATCACTGTATTCAGTCCTAAAAAAAAATGTCAACTTCCACCACAAAAAAAATAGTTCTAAAAAAAAAGCAAGTCAAAAGCAATCATTGCACTTGGAAATTTTTTCTTGACTGCACACGCAAGAGTAAATATTTTAGGTATGACTAAAACCCCAAATTTGAAAAGATGACTCTGTGATGCATCTAGAATTTTGTGTAATTCAACTTTATAATACATAGAACTTTGTACCAATATTCAATCCTTGTAATATTAAACAGAATTTACCAAAATCTCCATTTTGTATTTTCATTTTTGAAACCACAATGGACCTGACTACAATACCATGTATTCTTCTGCTAACCAATTAAAATCATTCCTAAACAAACCAGCAGAGCTATGAAGTAATCAACAGACTACAGGCAGCGGTTGCTCAAATGTAGTCTTTTTTAATCTGCATGTTCTAATGCTCATGTACTAAACATAGAATAAAACCAAACTCAATTCACATGCTCTGTAAATTCAGGACACGAGAACAAAAATTACATTTGTACTGTAGCATCAGATTCAATGACTTTGCACCAATTTTGCCATCCGCAGCTTTTCAGTTCTTATCTCTCTAGCTAATAAAAAAAAATGTGAAATAGACTTAATTCTTAAGTGAAATAAATTTTGATTACCAAAAGAGAAGGAAATTTAAAGAATGGCACACAACTACACAAGATGTTCCATTTCAAGTCAAAGACAAATTTTACATTAAATTTTTTTTTTGAGTCACACTTTCTAATTCCATCCAGCTTAAATTTTAAACTTGTCCAAATGGGGACCCGTGCTACATGTAATAGAATCAAACCAAACCCTTTTTCTCTCAGATTTGTTAAATTTTCAGAAATTTCTGCATCTTTCCAATAAATACAAAAACGTTGTTTGGACATCCAGTTCTAGCCAACAAAAACAGTTGAATGCATATATTACACCAGTAAGTTCCTAATTTACTAGTAACTGTATAATTTGAACATGAATTCCAAATTTCCAGAATGCGAATAAATTGGTACATGTAATTCTAGAAGATTCTTTGCAAACAAAAGAGAAAATAACAGTCTTTGGTTACAGTGTCTATTTGAACATTAAAAAAATTACTGATTGACGGATGTTTTTGTTTGCCACTCAAAAGGAGAAAAATCACAATGTATAAGCTTGCAGCGCTTAGTTGCAGTCGAAAAACAGTTCAGAGACCATTTTTACTTCAGCACGACCACAATCGCACAAGGAAATGGACAGACTCTATAAGAATCGCAAAACTTCAAGTTGAGGATGTGTTCTTGAATGTGTATACTTAAAGACAGATTTATATGCAGCCTCTCGCTTAGATTCACTTAAAGAATGAACAAGTTTGTTTTCCTTTTACTGGTAGATTCGTGTTCTTTTTAACATAAGACACTTTCTGGTAGATATCAGACAACAATGTATTCTAAATGCGTGTTCATTAGACTGCAAATCAATTTTGTGCAGTACTGTACACTTGATTTCAGCATTGATTACCAAAATGAGATTTTTAATACTACATCTAGTAGTAAAACACACTAAAGAACAAAATGATGGAAGAACTATGATTCTCAAATTGTGAAGACCGAACAAGTTTTCAAATAATTAACAGTACCTCAGCCATCTATACTGTTTAACTCTTAAAAAGTTCATTGTGAATGTCAAACTAACCAAATGCTGACAAAATAATAGCAGACAAGGAAGGTATTGTCTGTTTTTGATACACTTCTGCCCATTTATTGCCTAAGTATTACACCATACAATTTGAGCATTAAAACTTGCAAGCATTGCATCGGATAATAAAAAGCTCTGTGGCTGAACCCACGTTGTCCTTCATTGACACTTAACAATTAGATGTGTAATGTACTAGCACTACGGAAGAAGTACAACACTAGACTGCTTCTTTTCAGATCATTAAAGTTCTTATGTGCTAGTTGAAAGTAACCAAATTACAAAACACTCACTCACAATTTTTGGGACTGACAACATGTTCCTTGACATCACTTTAAAGGCAGGAATAAGAAACAGACCTCTGCAGTAAAAGGTTACCAATGGCTTTGCTCCCTCTCACATGTCCACACCACTTTCCTTCATAACCAAGATTAGTGATAAAACACAGGGCATGCCAAATACTACTTAAAGAAAAGTTCTACCAACTAGAACTTTCTAAACAGCAGGGAAGTCAAGACACAACACTCCAGAATGTTCTTTGTCAGAGAGAGAGAGAATGGTATCCCACAATGTGAACAATGAGCATTACTTTGGATTCCATTGTTTCTCATTTATTAACCTTGACTACAAAGATAAAGAGAGGTGTTTAACAAAGGGATGTGTCATAAAATTCCTGAGATATGAAGTTGAAAAGAACAAAAGTGAAGACTAAAGTAGAACATTTTTGGCATGTTTTAGACAGCAAAGCAGGTTAGGAAAACATGTGCACATTACATAGAGGAATTTAAACAGCCTTTGGCAATAAAATAAGAAACAGATTTTGCAGATTAAATACAGTATTGCATATTCATGACAATGTCTTCCTGAATAAAGGACTTTCACATCAGAGTAGTGAAACACAATCCAGTATCACTAGTAAAGCAGACATTTGTGACACTAACACAAAATTAATTATCACTCATTTTGAGGCCAAAATTGCTACATAAATCTAACTTCAGGCCAAAGTAGTGCATACATAAACCATCACAACAAACAGACAAACTGCACAGTATTAAATTCACCAGACATGTCTTTTCAGCAGTCATGGATAAAAGTCCAAATCAGTAACTTTGTCCAATTCAATTCAACCCAGATGTAACATTCTATCACTACCATCAGTATATTTGAAATACTTCTTGCAAAAATATAGAGAAATGTTCACAAAGAAATCCTGCCAATAGGTCAAAACACTACAACATCACTGACGACTACCTGTTCTAGCAAAAGGAGACTTGAGAGTCAAACTATGTCATGAAATCTATGCAAAATCTTCACCTTCTTTTTCTTGGAGAAACGAAACATATTAAGACCAGGATTTGCCAAATTTTCACTGAAATTCTGTTCCAAAACTTCTCAACAGAATGCCAGACATTTATCTTGAAGTATTCCTTAAAAATTAACTAGTCATTAATCTGGTTATCAGCCTATGGATCAGGCATGCTCATATCTAAAGTATCAGTTTACATCATCATCAAAATAAGCCCCTTGCATGTATCTTCTTGTCTTTTACTGTAGGATAGTTTGGACCCATCTGCATGCTTCTTCGTGTGTTTTAACTGATTCATAATGCAATTAATTTATCCTGACAACCCATATAATTTCAGGCATAAGCTAAAAAAAAGCCCTTTTTATTTCTGTGTCCATTTTCTTAATGGTTCACTTCATAGATACAAATATTGCCAACAGGCTTCAACTTGAGTCAAAATCAAGCTGCACTACACCTTTGTAGTAAAATACGTGAGACAACTACATAAGTGTAAAATGCACTTTCAAAGAACAATAAATACAGAAAATCTCCTCCAGCATGCAGTTTAATTCAGGTGCTCTTTTGAAAAGAAGGAATTATTGTGCACTAAGAGATCAAGAATGACATGAAATAATGTTTAAAATGTCAGGCTACGACATAATTTTTTGCCATGTAGAGACATCAGCTTACAAGTTACTGGCTTAAAGCGACTGGGAGCATTGCTACCTAACCCCTCTCCCCAAAACAGGATACTATTCCATCCCAAGCCTACACACCACCATAAAGTTCTTTTTAGTGACATTTTACCAATACCTATTCATACTTCAAATTTGACAAAGGCACTGTGACAATTAACCCCTTAACCTCTGAGACTGATGAGCAACTCGTTTCCCCTTCCAATATCACCCCTGAATCACAAACTCAGGTCACAAGAAATAATCACTAACCAAAGAGTCTCTCACTTGTTAAACAAATTCTCCTCATTAAAACCTTAGGAAATGAATAGAGAACAGTATGGAGAATATGCACATTGATGTTAAGGTGTGAAAAAGGGTTAAGGTTTGCTCAAGTGAACAGCACAATAGCGCAATAGCCCTTAACTTAAACTCCCAGAAGTGATTAACGTGTAACTTCTCCCAAAAATATCGACACATTATCAGGGCTAAGGTCTAGCAGCGCCCAGTTGCCCCTGG